CCTATTGTTTTTTCTGTGATGAAAACCACTCACAAAACCACAGAATCATAGATTAGCACAAAAGATAAACAAAGAAAACAAAACACTAAAAACAAAAATCAAAAAAATTAACAACTTAAACCTGAAAAGAAAAAAAAAAGTAACCAAATTCAGGAATCTATTGCACCACAAACAAACAAACAAAACAAAACAACCAACATGAATGCACATCAAACCCAGAATACCACAACACCACAAACAACAGTAGCAAATAGCTCAGAAAGCTATGAACAAAAATTATCACTTCCACAAAGCCTAACCTTAGGCAAAAAAAAATCCATTAAAACCAAGTGAACAAACTCCAAACAGACTAGAACAGAAATAACAAACTACAATCAAATAATGACATCTCCAAAAAAATATAACCAAACATCAAATGAAGAAAACAAAACTATAACAAACACTAAACAAAAAGATGATACAAACTCCCCGACCACATGATCACTACCCACCCCAATAACGTACAAAGAAAATAAAAGTAATAACAAAGAGGATAAAAATGAAAGCTTTTCATGAATAAAGGTAGCCAAAAACATTAATTAACAACTTCAATTCCGGGAAACCTCTCATCTAAAACATAATGGATATATTAAACGAAATTAGCGTAGTGCTAAATGAATTTTTAGAATACTAAAATGCACAAAATTATATTGTGGAATGCAAGATCAATATTAAATTAAAAAAAAAAAAAACAGAATTAAATTATCTATCATGTAAAGAAAACCCAGGAATAATAGCAATCAATGAAACCTGGATAAAGAAAAAGATAAACACAATATTAACAATCACACAGTGATAAGAAAAGATAGAAATAGCCAAATAGGAGGAGGCCTTGCTTTGTGCATAAAAAACGTAATACAGCACAAAAAAATAGATTAAAGAGACAGATACAATGACAAAATAGAAGTGTTAGGAATCAAAATAAGTTACAACAATAATTGGCTAAATATAATATTAATATACAACTCATACAACTCAATACAAACCGAAGAATTAGAATACTATTCTGATCAAGTAAGACATCCAAAATTAATAATAGGTGATTTTAACGCACATCATCCCCTCTGGAACGAAAACAACAGCCAGAAACAAACCAACATAACAGGCATAAATGTAACCAAATGGCTAAGTCAAAACAATGTTACATTATTAACTCCAAGAAACTTAATTACTAGAATAGATCCCAAAACAGAAAAAGAATCCACCTTAGATCTCGTATTCGGCTCACCTACCCTAAGTCACTTACAAATAAAAACAACACCCCATCTAATAAGAGACTATCTACCAATAATAATAACAGACAATACACATAGAGAAAGTCAATTACTTAAAGAAAAAAAATGGCACTATACAAAAGAAAGATGATAGGAATTTCAGAGACCTAAATGAAATAAACTTAGAAGACTTAACATCCATAGAAGAAATAACAGAACTGATAAAAAAATACAGCATTAAAATACTTTAAACTAAAAACAAGACAATACAAAGATAAACCTAATAAACCATGGTGGAATAAAGACTGTGATATAATTATCAAAGAAAGAAATAAAGCTTAAAACAGATGGAGGAAAAAACAACTCAAGTAAATCAAATAGAGTAAAAATTATTAGAAAAATCTAAACTCACAATATTACAACAACAAAAAATCCTGGAGTGATTATTGTGAAACAATAGATTTCAAAAATCCACCAAAAAAGATTTGGAATTTCTTTAAGAAACTGACAGGAAAAGCTACAACTATTGCATACTGAATCATAGATAATGAATTACCATTAACAAATATCAATCACAAACTAGAAAAATTAAAAAATGAATACATGAAAACGGTGAATAAAATACCAAAAAAATCCTATCAAACTCAGATAAATTAACTGATTAAATTTACAAAATACAAATGAATTGAGTAAAGACTTAACCATGGTAGAATTAAAATCAATACTAAAAAATGCCAAGAATAACAAAGCATTTGGCCCTGACGAAATTCCTTATGAATTATATAAAAATGCCCCAGAAAATATACTGAAAGCAATATTAAGAACCCTAAATACACTTTAGTCCAGGGGAGAATATCCCGATTCACTAAAAAATGTGTTAATTAACCCCACAATTAAACCTGGAAAGAACCCTACTGATACAAAATCTTATAGATTCATAAGCAGAATATCCTGTATCGGAAAAATATACGAAAATATTATAACAAAAAGATTAACAACAACAGAAGCTTTACAGATAATAGATAACCATATTAACAAAACTTTGTAGACACACAATATACCCTAATAGCCTGCATAGACCTAGAAAAAGCTGTTGACACTGTTAATAATGAAGCATTAATAATATAAATGGCTACCCTAGGAATAACAGGATATCCCTTACAATGGATAAATAACCTACTAGAAAACCGAACATTCCAAATAAAAATAGGTAACAGAACATCTGAAAAAGGAATAATCAAATGTGGAGTACCTCAAGGATCTTCGATACTCCCAATATTATTCAATATAATGATTAATGATTTAAAATTAACTGACATAAAAAAAATAATATATGCAGATGACATTACATTAGTGACAAGTAACAAAAACTTAATTGAAGCATCAAATAAAATTGAAACAGAATTCCAAAAATTAAAAGAATGGGCAAATAATTGGGACTTAAAAATAAATTTTCTAAAAAGTAAGTTACTATGTTTCTCAAATAGGAAAACAAACCAACTACCAATAATAAAAATAGATAATATAGAAACTGAATATGTACAAAGCCACAAAATATAAGGTCTAACACTACATGCACCAAAACTAAAATGGAAAAATCAAAAAAATAATATAAAAGTAAAAACATTAAATAGAATAAACCTCATGAAAAAACTAGCCTCATTTAATTGGGGAACAAACAGAGAAACTCTACTAAAATTCTACAAGATTTATATAAAACCAAAAATAGAATATGGAATAACAATATACGGGGCAGCAAAAGACATAGAATTTTTAAAAACTAGAAACCCCCCAAAACCAAACATTAAGAGTGGCTACTGGATGCTTAAAATCAACTCCAATAATAGCTCTTCAAGCTATATAACAAATTTACCACCAATAAAAAATTGTAATAAAGAACTTGAATATATACAAATTGATCAAGATCTTAAATAAACCCAACATAATGCCAATAAAACATCAGGCAATAAATTATATAAAAGAATATAATCCTCAGAGAGACAAAAGATCTCTAATACACAGAGTCACTGAAACTAAAAGGAACCTAATTCTTGAATCAACACTAAATGAAGTACCTATCATATCACCAGTACCCCCATGGTTTGATATTTCAAAATATATAAAATAAATTTTGCATATAACCTTACAAAAGATAGTCCTCAAATCATTATTCAAAAACCTTATCAAGAAATTATAAATATAAACTATAAAGATCATACCAAAATATTTACAGATGGATAAAAAAAAAAAAACAGATCCAGATTCAACCTCGGCAGCAATCTTTACTCAAAACAAAAAAAATAACAACTATCTGGAAATACCAGCTAATGTAGAAATAACTCATGCAGAACTCTTTGCTATAAAACAAGGATTAAATTATATCATGAACAACAGTCTAACAAAAACAGTAATACTGATGCGCAGAGATATGTGGAAATGGACACCACCATCTTATAGTAAAAAACATAGGTACAGCGGCAATGGAATCATATCTATCAAGAAATGACAAAAATATCTGTTGCATATCAACGCTCAGAAACTAAGTCCACATTAGCCTCAAACACCTTAAAATCCATAAATGTCCGTTTTCTGTAAGTTGGTAGGAATTGCTATTTAAGGAAGAGAGTACAGAGAGGGCAATCTAGGGAATATATACAAGGTGGGAAAGGTTGAGTTTGGATTTTTGGGTTCGTAAGCCATTTTGGTTTCGGACTTAGTTTCTGGATATCATATTACTGCTCAAGGACTAAGTCCCACACCAAAATGGCTTACGAACCCAAAAATCCAAACTCATCCTTTCCCACCTTGTATATATTCCCTAGATTGCCCTCTCTGTACTCTCTTCCTTAATTAGCAATTCCCATAAACTTACAGAAAACAGACATTTATGGATTTTAGGGTGTTTGAGGCTGATATGGACTTAGTTTCTGAGCGTTGATATGCAACAGATATTTTTGTCATTTCTTGGTAAATATGAGCCCGCTGCAGCTATACCTATGTTTTTTACTATAAGATGGTGGTGTCCACTTCCACATATCTCTGCGCATCAGTCTTTGAGCAGTGATGTGATATCCAGAGAATTAAGTCCCAATCAAGGATGTCTTACGAGCCAAAAAATCCAAACTCATGCTTTCCTATCTTCTATATAATTCCTAGATTGCCCCTCTGTACTTTTCCTTTTTTAGCAATACATGTCAACTTGGAAAACAGATTTTAATAACGCTTGGCTGTGTGGTATTATGGACTCGCATCACTACTCAGAGACTAAGTCCATAACACGGCCAAAAGTCAATAAAATCCTTTTTCTAAGTTGGCACGTATTGCTAACGAAGGTGGAGTACAGAGGGTATTCCTCCCCTTTCTAGGCAATATACAAAAGGTAGGAAAGGTTCAGTTTGGATTTTTTGGTTCTCAAGACAATCCTGGCTTTGGGGAGATCTCGCCCACACATATACAGACGTTCCTCTAATCTCTCAGACATCTCAGTTTCTAAAATCTAAACTAACTGCAATATCGAAACCTACAATCTCTAAAGTTGTATATCATCCAAGTCACCTGAGATTCTCTTATCTAAAGCATCTACAACCTGACGTTTTTGTATCAACTCAGACAAGAAAATGACAATAATTGGAAAAATCAACAAACATTTGAAGATTTCGACCAAATTATATTAAACATAATGTAATATTAAACTGAAATAGAGCACTGACGACCTGATAATGGTCAAACAAACCTCAAGGCCCTGAC